TGCTAAAGATAGAAATGGAATGGACATGACGGAACTGGAATTTGGACTGATTTTTATCCATRCCTTTAATTCTTGGCATAAAATTTTTATCCAAAATGATTTTCACTACTTTGAGCTCTTTGAAGCTTTAATAAAAAAATATTTTCACTTTATTATTGTTCGGATCCATGTCAAAACAACAGCATTTCTGCACAGACCCATATTTCATCTAGAAGTAACTTCCTGTGAATAAATTTGTTGTTCTAGTGATCCTATGGTTTAAAACAAACAGTCTACACACACCTACCTCTGGCAAAAAATGCCAGGTTAAGACCCCATCATCCCTCCACTCCCCACGACCCCGCACCCGTCCTAGCGTCTTTTTTACTGGGATAACTGKGGTTTACCAGTAAGTTGGAAAAACACGTCTGTTTTTTCTGATTCCTGCTGGTTCCCGTCCGACAAAATAAACAAGTTGCGCAATAATTCATTACGTCAACATTGCGCCCTCGACACCATGACAAGCAACTGTCCAATCAGGGCAAAGGTGCTGTTCACGTGTTATCTTGATTTGGAAGCTCAACCAACTAAATACTCCATGCATGTTGAAACCAGGTCCTCCAGGTCCTCCAGGTCCTCCAGGTATCCCAGCTTACCCTGGAATCAGGGTCTAGTTCCAATTAAAAAAGCATGAGTGGGGAGGTTTATAATCGTTCATGCAAACTAAAGGAAGGGTCACAAAAATGTGCTCAAGCTTCTAGCTGGGGAGGAGGGGGACGGGGGGTAGGTTTCTTTTGCGGTAAATTTGAAAGAGTAAAGGAGTATAAAAGAAACAGCTTTACATTCTAACTTAATCGTTGTTCATTAATTATGAAAATGCTGAATGCTCGCTATTTAATGATATCATCAGCAAATCAAAAAATTGCAAAATTGGACTGATGATTTTGGACATAAAAACAAGAAAATTAACGCCACATAGAAAGATGAATTTTGTAGTTAAATGTTGAACTGTTCTGTCAGTGCGGTTTTCCTTTCTTTTCTTTTCTTTTCTTTTCTTTCTTTCTTTCTTTCTTTCTTTCTTGTTACACAGGTGAATAGAGCTCTCGCACTTGGCTTCTTTTCTACGCGCTGCCGGATTACCGTCCAGCAAACAAATCGATAGAGTACGTAAAGGTACATGGGAAACTACTCTAACGATTTATTTGACTGACGGTAATCTTTCAACAGTCTGACGGACTGTTGCCTCGATCAGCGCGTATCAATTAAAWCAGTGGTAAAAACCGAAGTGATAAAAACTTGAACAATCCTTTTAAGCGTCTTTATTGGAAGTCCAAGCAACTTTTACAACTACAACTTTACTACTGACACAACTCAACTAAACGAACTAAATTATCTCATAGGACAGGTCTAGGCCTGACCGAAAGGTTGCATAAGATCACGGTCAAATTTAGCTCGTAYGTGCCACTCGTGAGAGGCATGTGACTTTATACGTTATGACTTGCCTACGATATTTTTAAGAAAGAGAACGATTATATTTTAGCGAAACTTCAGCAAATGAAAAACAAGTTCACCAATTGCAAGTTGATTATAAATGGTTGCTTTCGTTGATTTTCCGAGAAGTTAAAAAAAATGAACTATCAAATCCAATAAGTATCTATATGATCTTATATTAGAACTACTTTAGAAACACACGAAAAAAGATTGTTAGTACAACTCATATGCATTGCTTATGCAGCAGAACTGATTTTATAGCTATTGTTGTGCTAATTTCCTGAAATCGTGGCCCAGTGGGAAAAACTTGRGCTTCCAAGCCCTCCCCCTTCTGATTATTGACCAGTCCCTTAGCTGTAGGTACGGTCTGGGACCAGTATCGCTTCTCCCCTGATTCCTTAACTTAAACATTATCCTGCATTGCCTACCCAGTTCCCATGCGACAAAAACGTACTCAACCCGGTCCCGCTCGATTTATTCCCTCGATTTACGGCTACCGATGTATGTTATTGATTGCGCACTAGTTTAGAAGTCTTGATTTACAAAACCAAGACAAGACGCATCCCAAAGCGAAAAGCAAAATAGTGCCGGCTTTTCTCAAAACTTATCGGTGATAGCACCAAGAGTTCCGTGGTAATAAACCTCTTTGCAGATCATAACACTAGCAGAATCCCTTGCACACTTTGCTTTCTTCAGTAAAGGTGCAGTAATTGTCTTACTATTCACGAGACAAGAAAAGAAAGGCAAAAAAGCTGAATAGGAAAGAAAATTAGCAAGACAGTTTTGGGCCATTCCAATAAGTATTGTAAACATGTGTTTGGCCTTTGTTTTCGCTTTGATTTTCGAGAGGTTCCCAACCTATAGAGCCTTCAGAGCTTCTTGGTGGGAAGTTTCATTACTCATATAGCTTATTATTATTCTTGCAGATATATTTTGTAATTTCTGCAGACGTTTGAAGAGACCTTCACCAAGTATGTCCCATACCTCACTACAGTAATTAAAATGAGGTTGTACTATAGCATTATTTATGGATGGCRACCAGAGTTTCTCTATCCACAAAGTCTCTAATTCTCCTCATGGCTCCTATACCAGATGTAATTTTTTTGCTATACCATCTATACGCTTATCCCAAGACAGAAATTGGTCAATTTCGACGCCAAGAACCCTGCTATGGAAGACTTGTCTTAAAGGGTTTTTACCAATATTTATGCTGGGCTGTGCAATTAGAAAGTCGGTTTTTGCCACATTAAAGCTCAATTTGTTTGCTAACAACCAGTTTTTGACATGCTCAAGGTCACTATTCATAGCCCTCTCGACTTCCTCTATTGTTTCACCAGTTGCCGTTAAGTTTGTTGCATCAGCAAATAAGCGAGGTGTTGTTTGCTTCAGACATTCTGGTAAATCATTCATAAACAAGAGGAAGAAGAGAAGACCAAGAACGGAGCTCTGAGGAATTCCGCAGCCAATCTGGCTCCCTGTAGACGACACTCAATTYAGCTGACATATTTATTTACGACGCGATAGATAGAATTTTATAATATTTCATGGTTAACCGTATCGAATGCCTTTTGGAAGTCAAGAAATACAACCATATTTAACAACTTTCAGTCCATACTAATATACCAGCTATTTTTGTACTGTCCAGTAAAGCTGAGGCAGTAGAAAATAGTCTTCGAAAGCCAAATTTATGTTCAAAGACAATATTGTTAGCCAAAAGGTATTCGTATATTTGATCGCATATGATTCTTTCCAAYATTTTGAAATAATTATCGGTGGAATATTAACAGGCAGAGCAAGCGTTCTTTTGATGGGTTTGAGGAAGAATCGGGGTTTTGGRGTTCCTGTTTCGACWACCTGCCCGCGACAAAAATGAAAACTAGCTCGTTCCWAATTTCCAAAGTTCCCCCAAAACCYCAGTTTTTCCCCAAACCCACAAGAACGCCTGCTTTGCAGGCTAGTGTAATATTGACCGATSCGCTCGAAGACTCGCGGCGATATTCCACCGGTAATCATTTCTCCTTCGGCGAATCAAATTATTTCTTTCTATAACGGTGGCAGTGAGTTTCAGTGCTTTTCTCTTTCAGAGTTCAGTTATACTTCATGTCTGTATGCTTATCCTATGTTCTTATAAACWCTTTCATGGGTGGATCTCCTTGCGCCTCCTTGTGTTCTCTTTTCTTGTATTCGTATTAAGAAACCAGTATTTTCTTCTAATTATGTCTTTGGTCTTGCTTGAGGAAAGGTGCTTGCATGCTACGTTTATAATTCTCTGGCTGGTACATAGGATTACTCCCGGGGGGAGGGGGGGGGGTACTACCACCCCAACTTGGGTAGGGGTGTGTCGCCAGGACCTCAAAACCCTGACCCTATCCCAGACCTAAAACTTTGATTTTACATACCCTACCCYAGACTAAAACTAAGATGAATTGTATACCCTATCCCAGACTAAAAGACGGAAAAGACGGTTATTGAATTGATTGCAATCAATATTTACTAACGTTTTTATTGTTTTTGTG